TACACTGGATGGTACGTCAAAGACTGCTACATAAGGAAGCAGGAACTGCTACTGAACGATGCCGTACTGTTGCTGTATGTGCTGTTATGATTAAAACGTCATGTAGATTATACTTGGATACATTAGCTTGTCAGAAAACACATTTCCTTTCTCAGGTCTGTTTCTCCAGTTCATTTTGACTACAGTCAACTCGGAGTTCATCATCAGGGGCGGGGTGAAGAAGGGAACAGGAACACTCCCATGATTCCCTGCCAGCCTTGAAGTCATCATTTGTCTTGTTTTGATTGAGAGCCCCCTGACAGCAGAATTTACATACTGTGCATTTAAAAGGAAAAAAAGAACATCCATCCCCACCCCATCCTTTTTTCTTTTCCCATCAATTGATGAATACATCTGTTTTCTAATTTAATACAACATATTTGTTTGACACTATGTCATGACATACTCATTTTGTTTGCTTTTTTGTTTGTTTTGTCACTCTTAAATAATCAAGAAACTCCTGCTGATCATTAAACTCAATACATTTTCATTTAACTTATTTTTTTTGTCATTATTTATTTATTTTTTGTTTTGTCTTTTTTTATATTATTGTTTTTACACAGCACAATAAATAAATAAAGAAAGAAGCTGTTGAGAGACAACCTGCTTCCTGAGGTCATCTTCACAGTGATATGCAATGCCAGTGCAGCACAGAATAACACTTCTGTAGCACAGCAGCTAAATTCCTCTCCTCTCCCTCTGACCCCCCCTGCTGACCCTGCTGATACTGTTTCTGAAGAAAACACTGACGATAGATTGTGATAACAGAGAAGTGCTTTAGATCTCTTTCTTCAATGCAAAAATCACTTAGTGTTTCATATTTATCTTACAAGCTTGTTTGTCACTGCTACTCTGTGAGCCTTGTATTTATCTCCAGATTAAAATCAGTAAATGAAGACTTCTTGTAAAAACAAGAGTAGTATGTCTTTGACCACCTTTGTGCTTTATGATTAAATGTCTGAAGTCACAAAAGCCTGGTGTGCAATCTGTAATCTGGAGACGACGATTGGCATGAAAATTGAAGAGAAACAAATGAATAAGATATTTCAATAGTATATAAAAATAACATATTTTTATTTTTGATGCTTGACCATCACTCCTCAGTAACTAGCCTTGTCTTACCATTACTGAATGAACAGATGGACCCAGTTCGCCTTGTCTCATTTGTTAGGAATCACTCTAAACCTTGAAATGTGAGTTAAAAGAAAAACACATTACACCATAAACTGAAAAAAAATGCCATCTGAAAGAAGCCTTTCAACATCAAACAGCTGGTTCTTTTGGTCAGTATGTTGCATGTTTGCCTCATTTTCTCCATCAACTTCCAGAACATCACAATTAATACACTGAACTCACTTATGCAACACCAAGAGTTACATTCTGTTCAGAGTGCTGGTGAACACTCCTGTTATTCACAGAGACATGTTTACTGAGAACACGGTGCAATATCGTACCCAGCTGTGTGATTTCTAAGGATAGTGAAAGTTTTAACACAAATTAAAATTGATCAGATCTATACATCTCTGGCAAATGACATTTCAATATGTGAACATGTTACAGCAAACCCTTTGTGCATGCACTTACTTCAAGGCTTTCTATGTGATTTTTCACTCTTAAATGTAATATAAATCAAGTATATCCTCTGAAAATAACTCTGTGAGTCATGACTGTCTACAATGGGTGTAACACCCGAGTCCCACTGTCTGTGATGTTTTCAGAGTTTTCAGAGTCTTATCTTCACTTTGTTTACATCGCCAGGACTGCCGGCTGACTCCTCCCCTCGTGTATAAAAGTTGTTTAATTGAGGGACTAGAGAAAAGAAGCCTTCGCTCCGGTCACTGAGGCTAATGCAGCTATCGTTAGCAACCGACTCGGCTGCCTCCCGTCTTCTACTTTCCGCCTCCACCCAGTCATCCTCTACATTCCGTCTGGACATCCTTCACTCGGCACCACTTCAGCCCCACTGCCTGTTACTCTGGTTGACAAGCCTGCGGCTACCGGCTACCAACTCCAGGATTAGCAAACCAACATCCCAGGCTTGCATGGCAGTGAAGTACTCCATCTCCCAACTGCTCAAACTCAACAATAACTCCACTCCTGCATGCATCTCCGCCATCAAAACCTTTGGACTACTACGACGACCCAGACACATCCTCAGAAGCTCCCGGCGCAAGTTTGTTTACTCCTGGTCTAGCCAGCATGGCCACTCCATCCCATCACTCTGGTCAGCTGAGCAGACTGTCACACCCCCACTACGTCATCATCACAACAATGAGCAGACGCGCTCTCCCTGTCTACGAGCCCTGCCTCGAGCTCCCCTGGACACAAACACCAAGCAAACCCAGATGAAATTCACTCTGTTTAACACCCGGTCTCTTAACAACAAAAGTGACATTCTCAATGAATTCATACTGGACAATAAACTGGACTTCCTCTGTCTCACTGAAACTTGGCAACAGTCCCTGGATTATCTCTCACTCAACCTGACCACACCTAATGGATACACATACATCGAGGTGGCGGCATTGCAGTCATACACAGACAGGACATAAAAACTAGCCTCATCTCCCTTCCTCCTGCTCCCTCATTTGAATCACTGGATTTTAAACATTCTGGCACCACACAGCTGGTCATGGCTGTTGTCTACCGCCCTCCCAAGCCTAACCCCCACATCCGTAACCTTGGTGTCATCTTGGACCAAACCCTCTCCTACGACAAACACATCAAACACATCACCAAAACAGCCTTTTTCCACCTCAGAAACATCGCCCGCCTCCGCCCATCACTCTCATTCTCAGCTGCCAAGACCCTCACCCACACATTCATCCCCTCCAGATTAGACTACTGCAACAGTCTCCTCTGTGGTTCACCATCCAAATCACTCAAGAAACTTCAATACATCCAGAACTCCGCTGCTCGTCTCCTCACACACTCCCGCACCAGAGACCACATCACCCCTCGTTCTTCATGACCTCCACTGGCTCCTCATCCCTCAGCATATCAACTTCAAACTCCTCATCCTCACTTACAAAGCCCTTCACAACCTGGCTCCCCCTACCTGTCTCACCTCCTCCACCGACAGACTCCCACCCGCACTCTTAGGTCTGCAGATGCAAACCTCCTGTCCCCCCCTGCAGGACCAACTATCAGTCCTGGGGGGACAGGGCCTTCTCTGTTGCTGCTCCCACCCTCTGGAACTCACTCCCTAAAGACATCAGAGACTCCCCCACACTCACTTCCTACAAGAAATCCCTCAAAACTCATCTTTTCATCACCGCCTACAACCACTGACTCTCATCCTCTTCCCTTGACATTATTTCTATTTTGTATTGTTCTCTTAGTTTTTTTGTTTGTTTTTTTGTTTCCTGTCAAAGCGTCTTTAAGTATTTAGAAAATATATAAATATATAAATCTAATTTATTATTATTTAATTTATTATTAAGAATAACATACTGTACTCACTGCTTAACTGTGTTTCTAGATCACGCTCATTTCAGGCAAATTTACATGCAGTGTGAAGATACGAGCATAATAAAGATTGTTAGCATTAGCATGCTAACACAACAATGCAGCGTGAGTTGTTTTGGTTTCATGCTGCTGCTTAAGGGCGACATCTGCTGGATCAAAAAATCACATATAAAGCCTTTAAAGGTCACATATTATCCTCCTCTTCAACTAGTTTAAATAAGTTTCAGAGCTCCTCAAAACATGTGTGTGAAGTTTGTTGTTCTAAATCCACTCTGATCCTGTATTTGATCATGTCTATAAACCCCTCTATTTCAGCCCTGCTCAGAACAGGCTGTTTCTGTGTTTGTAGCTTTAAATATGTAAATGAGCTGTGTCTGACCACGCTCCCTATCTGGAAGGGCTAGGGAGACTTGGGCTTTGTTGGCATGGACTTAATTGTGTATGACGTGACATGGTATTCATCAATCTAAGAACACAGGTTTAAAGAATTAAGAGATATAAGAACACGTCATAAATCTGACTTTTAATTTGTTGTAGAGATAGGACAGTGGAGAGAGTCTGACACTGAGAAAGAGAGGAATGACTTGCTGGAAAAGGAGCCATAGCTTGGACTATAGCCTCGGTACATGGGGCACACGCACTAACCCCGGATACCAGCACATCTCTTAGGAACTATCTTAGGAACATGTTTAAGAAAAATCTTTAGACAATATTGGTGAATTTGGCCCAGTGCCTTCATCCAATTTTAAATTCAACATAGACAACTCTTTTTGCTTGTAATAACATTGTTTGTCAATTATGATTTCAAGTAATCCCAAAGTACTTTAAACAACTTGGTTATTCTGCCACGTCCACGAGAAGTGCCTCTGCTAATATCAGAAAAAAATGTTTTACAGACAAAATGAGCAGCTGTACCTCATTAAGCAGAAAAGGCCACAACTTCATTAAGTTAGAAAACTGTTCAGACTTGTGCATGTGCAACAAATTGAAATCAAACTTTAATCACAGTGACTTAACAAACCGGTGCCTTAAAACTAAAGTTATTTCTGGATTTTTTTTAAGTTTACTTTTTCAATAGAACAGTGGTTCAGTGAGAGTGATAACACAATCTGTAAGAGATAACTCCAAAACAAAAAAACAATGCTTCATGGGAACCTGTGCATGCTTGAAAAGCCAAGCATAACAAAATGATTCAGGAGGAGTCTACTGTCTGGACCATTTTTCATGTCATTTTTTCATGCAAATGAAAACCCAGGATGGTCACAGATATGACACTATGCTGAAATAATGACACAAACTGGAGTCTTATTCTGGCTGAATGTTAATAACAGACTTGAGTCTCTATATGAGACATATTAAGTGTGACATGCCGGATGGACGTGGGTGGAGTTGGAAGTTGAACAGAAAGCCAACATGATCTTAAGACAACACAAAAGGCAACATGTCATGTTGAGATGAGAGATAATGTGAAGAGCAGCGCTCAGTGTACTCACAGTTCCCGTCTGAAGCCACTCTATGAGAACCTGAGCCGTCTCTGTAGGAAGCTGTGCTCTGAGGCTGTCTTTCCCCTGCTGGCTGGGCTGGAGCTCCAGGGCGAGTTTGAGGTCCTCAGCTAACTGAACGACCTGCAGTGGACCAGCACTGACGGGAGAACCCAGGTCATACACGCTGTTAGAGAACTCCGACGCTGCTGCTTTTGAACCTGCAGAGTATGTGATACAGCACAGGAGAACACAGCGCTTTGAATACTAGGAAAGAAAATGTAATCACAGCCATATATTCCCCTCTTTCCAAATTGTCCATGTGTCACCTGGAACGTTTCCCTGGCAACCCCTTTAAGAGCACACGCACACGCACACAAACACACACAGTAGGTCACATTGAAACATCTGCTTACAATAGTACATATAGTACATTGAGTCCTAATTAATGAAAAACATAAAATGAAAAGAAGATCCTTGAATACCTCTGTAGAACAGAGCATGAGAGTAAGTGAAGTGTTTAAAGTTACAACACAATCATTTTTAACTGTAGTTTTATTTCTGCATCGCCTAAATCAGAGGTCTCAACGTCGCTCACCAGCTACTGGAAGTGTGGGATTGGGAAACACCAGAATATGGCGCACAAAGTGCAAGAAGCCATTCACCGATTAATGTATGTGTATAGTGAAGAAAGCAATGACTACCTACACCTAACTCAGGGACCACAAAAGAGTTAAATACCATCCGCTATTGCCAATATATATGTTGGTGCTTACAAAGTGGCATGGAGAGTCTCTGTGTAAACTTTGGTTATTGACATTTCCTTGGAGTTTTCAAGAAGTAGTTTCATAAAGCTGGTCCATTTGTTTTGATATATTAAATGACTTCACTTCAGCGATGCCACTTTCATTTTTTCTTAACAGACACTGAAATATAAGCAATACTGATATTTACCCTTGTATGAGTTGATATGAAGGCTACAGGATGGAGAGATAGTTTGCATCTGATGAAAGTACAGTGTCATAGGAATGAGTGTGAACAGTGACATTTGGTACATTGTGCACTTAACTCACTGCTTCCTGTTAAACCCACAAATAACTTCAAGCTTGTTCAAGAGGAACAAAAAAAACAACTAGAACAAAAACCCACTCTTGCATCATCTCTCCATCCATCCTCCCATGTACACTTCACTGAATTTAATCCAGAGAACACTGAGACATTTTTTACACACTGTCAACTCAGACAGAACACAAAACTACATCATCACCAGACAGGGTTGTTATTTTTTTGAGAATGAGTTTTAGTTTTAGACAACTGTTACATATTAAAGGAAATATTCAAATGATTTACTATTTGTTCAAATGGGAGCCGAGAAGAAAAAGGACTGACTGTTTACTGGATGGTATACAGACTTGCTTTTATGTGATGTCGTCTTCTTAATGTCTTTTCTTACTGGTTTTACTATTTTTATCTTCTTTTACTTATTACTGTCCTTTTATTTATTCTCTTTATTTATGCTCTTATCTCGTATCACTGTTTCTTTTCCCTTAACTCCTCTTATGTTTTAACTTGGTAATTTTTTATCTTACTTACTTTGTCTATTTATGTTTTATATGTATATATACTTTTTATTATTATTAATATTATTTGTTATGTTCTTGCTGTTGTTTATGTTCTTCTGTGTTTGGTTTAGTTTGCTTTGTTCTTGTTTTTGCTGTTTGTCAAAGCACTTTGTAAACCTGTGATTTTAACAGGTGCTATATAAATAAAGTTATTATTATTAATTGGTCAGGTGGTTGGTTGACTGTTTATATGTCACGGGTGAACAGGAAACAGGGGCATATGTAGTGGGAACATACTGTTCTTCTGTTCTTCTTACCATAACACAACATATTTAACATACAAAAGAACGACAACAAACAGTATAATCAATGCAATAATACCTCATCATGTCGTCATCACGGTTTGTCTGCTTCATAAGTGACAATAAACTGGAACATCAGACAGTAATTTAATTTTGGACATTTGTTTATTTTTTAAGCATCAAGAACTTTCCATACACCTACGCTCTTGTTCTGTCTTGAGACAACTTCTGTTATGAATTGGAGCTTTATAAATAATACACAAAGTTTAATAAAATTTCTGACATTCCCCTATTCACACATACTCAAAACACTCACATGGATGGTGCTGGTCTGATAAGAGCAATTTGTTTTTTCATGACCTGTTCCTGGAAACTTCAACAGAAGGACACGAGCGAAAAATCTAAAATATCAAAGCACCAATGAATAAATACAACATGTTTCTTTATATTTCATCAAAGAAGGTATATTTTGCATTGTTGGTACAATCCAGTAATGTCTGTATCATTCTGCACTTTTTTAACCTGCAAAGGTCTGTTTAATCTTTACATTTTACCGTCTGTTTTAGATACTTTTTCCTCACTCATGATGTGTCCTTTTCTTCATTAAAGTTATTTTTCCCCAGGTAAAACGAAAAGGGAAAACCTTGTAATAAGAGAAGGGTTCAGTGCTGGAATATAAAGGAAGTCTGATAGTTACTCCTCTCCCTGAAACAAAATAATTTGGAGCGTTATTAAAGTCACATCTAAAAAATAACATGATCAAAAAGTCATGAAGCGGTGGAGGGCTCACATGTAAACCAAAAGGAAGTTAAAAAAACATGTTGATCATGGAATGCAATATGACCAACATATCTGAATTCTGTTGATAAGTGTCTCTAATTTCCTTGCCAGTGATTGGCTGATGTTATCGCTAATGGGATTTTTAATGCATTTCTATTTGTGGTCACTGAGAGCCGGAACAGCAACTGAGAGCACTGAATGTGATCAGCACGTTTTCGGCAAACAGCAGGGACTTGATGAGCTTCAGATTCCAAAATGCTAGGTTTAGACCCTCTTATATTTAACAGTGTAGTAAAGGATGAGGTTGTACTGTATGTTCAGACAATCAGAAAGATGACACAGCATGTTATACGTTTGAGCAGAGGACTTAACCCCATTCATGATTTCTCTAACATTGTTCAATTAAAGAGTCAGAGAGATTCTTTTACCACTAAAATGTGATTTTCATACACTTTTATTAAACATTTACCCAGATCACTGTTGAATTTAGCTGACAATGGATGAACTGGCTGCAGCAAACATGACCCCTTTTGCACAAAAATGATGCACCACTAACAGGTGCATGTAGTATTAAAGGCTTTATATGCGATTTTTTGATCCAGCATGGAAATTTCAAATAAAATTATCATGACGAAATGTCACCAGTAGAATAAACACGTTGACCATTTAATTAACAGCTGTTTTTTTTTTTAAACTGCTGTCTTCCTTCGTTTCAAAGCTTTAAGACTCATTACTCATCATTACAAGCATTTAGAAGGCAGTCATATCAAAATAAATACAGTGGGCCTGTTGACTGTTCACACCACCAAACTAATAACTTTGTCCATGACAAAATCATCGACTACGTCAAGTTATGTCTTAACTGTACTGTCTCAGCAAAGGTTGTCCATTGTTATTCAAATAACAAGCTTTAAGATAACAGAAGACATCAAGGCCACCATGAAGACTAGTAACTAAGTAAGGAAAGTTTATTTGTATTGCACCTTTCACAGATAAACATCACAAAGTGCTTTAAAACAAGTAAACAATAAAAGAAGATAAAATAGCAGAGAACAATAAAAGCGCAGGGAAGAACAGATAAAATAATAAAACAAATAACTACAGTGATGCATACAAAGAAAATGCCACTGGCCACAAGAGAATTGATGCAGTAATTTGAAAAGTTCAATTAGTTTAATCAAATGCTTGTCTGAAGAAAAACGTTTTCCGCTGCTTCATAAAAGTGTTGCAGGAGTCTAAGCACTGCAGAGACAGTGGGAGGGCATTCCAAAGACTGGGAGCAACAGCTTGTTTTAAAACAAGTATGGGGAACAGAAGACCTGAGGGGCCTATATGGGGATTCAAGACGAGGGCTTTTAAGAGATGTAATCAGGAGGAGGGGATGAAAAAACAGGGGTACCTGAAAATGAAAATCAGGTAGGCTAAAGACAATTAAAAGGACGCTGAAGCAAAAACTCCATCAGAACTACATGAGGGAGGTCTGGAGTGGCATGGAGACCATCCCTGGTAACAGAATAGTTGAAGGCAGCTTGGACAGGATCTGACGTGGCCCCTGACTCTGATGGTGGATCTTGGGGGATTGGTGGCTTTAAATGCAGGGGTTTAATTCTCAACGATATTAGCAACAGCTGAAATGCTGTAGCAGTAGCTTATCCTTCACATTTCAGGCGGGAGGGAAAAGAAAAGTAGGTGATTGTTTAGTGTGTGTGTGTGTGTGTGTGTGTATGTGTGTGTGTGTGTGTGTGTGTGTGTGTGTGTGTGTGTGTGTGTGTGTGTGTGTGTGTGTGTGTGTGTGTGTGTGTGTGTGTGTGTGTGTAAAGGGGGGTTGGGGGATGAGAACTGAGGGGAAACAACTTTATTAGATTAAAGTAAAATGTTAATTTCACTCTTTCACTCTTAATAACCTGAAGAACCGATCCTAACTTTGTAACCCTGTGTAACCCCTCTGGGATCAAACCCTGTGTGACCCCACTGGGATCAAACCCTGTGTGACCCCACTGGGATCAAACCCTGTGTGACCCCACTGGGATCAAACCCTGTGTGACCCCACTGGGATCAAACCCTGTGTGACCCCTCTGGGATCAAACCCTGTGTGACCCCACTGGGATCAAACCCTGTGTGACCCCACTGGGATCAAACCCTGTGTGACCCCACTGGGATCAAACCCTGTGTGACCCCACTGGGATCAAACCCTGTGTGACCCCACTGGGATCAAACCCTGTGTGACCCCACTGGGATCAAACCCTGTGTAACCCCACTGGGATCAAACTTGCTTTGACGATCAATGAGTTGAGCACAGGGTTCTCTCTAGCTTCTTTATAACTCCTACCTGCGATGATGTCATCCATCTGCTCCAGAGCTGCCTCCAGCATGTGGCTGGCCTCCGTTTCCATGGTGATGGCGGGAAGCATCAGATCTAAGGTGCACAGATGTTCTGTTAAAAAAAAAGAAAAAATATAAACATTTAGCTTATATGCAACTTACATCACCTCTTTTTGAATATTCAAAAAGTTTAAAAAGAAACAGAAACAATTACAGGATATAATAGAGAGGGTACGGATAAAACACAAGAGTCACACAGGCTGATACAGGAGTGATGAACAAAATAAAGAACTGAAGTTAGCAAAAGATGGTTGGGGTTTGGGTTTGATAAGAATAGTACAATGATAGAGAGATGAGTAGTGACAGTCAATGTCTGTCAAACCTACCCTAAAACATGAGAAATGTTTGTATAACATTTAAAAACTAAGTTTGTGATGCAGTCTGTGCATCCTGCAAGAAAACACGATCAAGTATCTGTGGAGATGTTTCGGCTCTAACAACTCTACTCATGCCATGCATATGCTTTCTGCTGACCTCGTTCCAAACGGGACGCATTATAAAAGTGTAAATCTTTACTGTACTTGTCTGTACGCCTCTCTTCTTAAGCTGCTGAAGTCGATAAAAGAAGCTAAGAGAAGTTTATGTCAGGTTATGTTATTTCTTAAGTTTCTTGATGATTTTTCAAATTAAGTGTATTTACTTTTTACTTCATTTGCATGTAACCCATGCATGCACGTGTCTTTGAAAAACACCACCACTGGCAACGATTAACTAAAACCATATTACACACACAGACTCACAATACCTCAAAGAAAAATCAACTTTTCTCCATCATTGCTGCCTCTGGCTTTCCCTCCATCTCCTGTCATCCTTGTTTCATGATTTCCGATGCACTCATGCTCCCTCCTGTCATCCCATCTTTGCCTGGCACCCATCCCTTCTCTGTCATCTCTCCTTCAAGGCTCTCATCCCGCTGTCACGCTGTCACGCTGACTTACGGATGAATACACATCAACATGCGGAAATCACCGGGAAGGACAGTGATGTAATCTACTGATGCCTCGGGAGAACAAACCCTCCTGCTGAGCAGCCTAATGCTCATCTACATTAGCACTAACTTTCACAGCCACAACTCATCATGACAGCTGACTCTGACAATCTGTATAAAACACAGCCAGTAACCTTCCACTAACAAAGCTTTCAATCCCATCATTTTCTCTGCCCACAATATGTTTGTGTGTTAATTGTGTTATTATTAATGTGAATGGCTCAGTGTTCCTCTTGTTGAGACTGAGGGTGACGGTACCATTCACACACTGTGACAGAAGGATTCTGTTAAACAGCGGCGTGACAAACAGTTGACCTCGACCAGACAACACCGCCTTTGTCTTAATGTGTGTGTTTCAGAGACGGTCAGTGTGTGTGAGCAGGGAAGTCGTTGTTGCTTCATGACTCTGTGTGTTGAGTATGTAAAGGTGCTGATATAGAGATAAGTCCTGTTCCAGCCCAGCGCTGACAACACAACTGAAACAACTCTCTCCAGTGTCTCCTTTATTACACAATCTGTGCTATGCTTGTGGAAAGGTTTATTTATGTGTGTGTGTTGTGTGAAAGATAGAGAAAGCAGAGCGTGTGTGTGTGTGTGTGTGTGTGTGTGCTTGTAGTTCTCCAAATGTCCTTCATTATTTCACAAGAATCTTGTGAAATAATAATCTCTATCCAACTTTTTCATAAGCAATCTTTTTAATGAAACTGTTACTTAATAGTTTTGTATTTTCTTTGCTCAGATTCAATTCAAGTTGAAAAACTTTACTTTGGAACAGATTTTTTTTTATTTGTCTTGATGTTAAATTTGTAAGGTTTCCTGACAACACATTTGAACTGTCACACATTTTTTTAAATGTGCAATATAGAAGCTCTCAGGAGGTTCTGCTAAGTTTTTTATACTAATATATTAGATGGTAGTACTTAATTTTACCCAGTCTTATGCAGTTTCTGCCCATCGAAGGACTTCTTATAATAATAATAGACTTTATTTGGCATGGATATCACAGATACATTGGACGAACCAGATGCATTGTTTAAGTGTGTGTTAGATGCAAGTGTTTCAGCAAGCATGCTAGTTCTTAACACTTGTCCACATGAGGCTTTGGAAAGGAAAACAATTAAGATAGGGTTAACCCTAAAAAGAATAAATAAATACAGATGAACTGTTGAGCAAAGGCAGCATGATCAAACAATAACCCAGTCAGAAGCTATTCATGTGAGCACTGCTGTTTTGATTTCAGCCATTATTTGAGTCCTCTGTTAAAAGCATTAATGTTGCTCTCTAATTTTATGCCAGTGGGTAGAGAGCAGAGAAAGTTTTGCCCCCTTTGCAGAGAAAGCAGACTGGTCAAAAGATGTCTTGTACATTGGGTCAAAACGTAACTGGTCTTTTTTTTTAATTTGCAGAATGTTTCTGTGTTTTGTTTTCTCATTTTGCAGCTTTTGAAGGCTGTCTATCTGTTGTCAAACTTTTAAAGATTTTCTTATTTACCTCTTTTTTACATGTGTACATGTGTATTTTCTGAAACTACATGTGTATTTTCTGAAGTTGTGTTGAATTAATTTGTGTGGCCTTTATCAACAATTTTTCCAATGGAATGTAATTTGTAGTTTTCATAACTGTGTGACAGCGTATTAAAGTTCAACTCATGAGGGTTCATACTAAGGCAGCTATTACAGAATATTATTATAATGCAGTTATTGTGAAGTCAAAGGATTAGAGAACAATTACAATGTGAGAGCTATGACAGTTCACCAGTGCTGACTGTTGTAGATTACATTAGAATAAATATCCACTTAATATCCATGTCAATTATTTCATTGAAAAGTAATGATCAATTACTATCACATACCAAACTGAAGGGCTGGATCTTCTCCTGAGGTTTTATCAAACAGTCTGTGCGCCATGATTTCTAGTTCATGTCTCAGTTGATGTAGAAACAGACACACCTTTTCCCAGCAAGAGAGAAATACTCCAGAAAAACAAGTTTGTCTAAACATGACGATGCCGGACCTGTTTCTGTAACAACTACTCCCACCTCAGTGTGACAGCTCTCTCCTGGGTGAAAAGGGAAGCTAGCACTCTGTCTGCTGTGCTAACACTGTTAGCTTCACTGAGATAAGACAAAAGAAATGTATGAAGGATCAAATGTTTTTGATGCAGCAAGAAATGTTGGTCTTGATAGTTATTTTCAGCACGAAGAGCCTACATTTCAATGAAATGACATGAACCCACAGTTTTCATTCAGTGAAGAATAAATGTATTTCTGTTACACAACGCTCAAAGTTTGAAATGTTAAAGGGCCCAAAGCTCTAATAATATGAATACACACCAACATCAGAAAACGTTAGCCTGCCCAATATGGGCATATTTTGTCCAATATTGAAAGCAGTCTAAGAGGTTTACCTCTATTTCAACACAAGAAGTTAAAGATAAATTGATTTTGATATCACCATACAATGATTGTGCAGTGCATCCATTTTCCCTTTGTGTGACATTGAAAGGATACTGCTATCTATCTTCTAGTGCAGACCACTGAGATGCTACGTGTGCTGCAGATTGTACTGGGAGTATCACAAACTGTGGAGTGGGAGCACAATTTTTAAATCACCCAAACACTTTTAGTGGAAAAAGTTTTTCATGTCAGAAAACATGCACACTGATCCTGATACAGGTATATCTGTAGCCTGTATCTACCTGAATCAAACAGCCAACAGATCTATTGGTCAGGCTCTACAATGACCAACCAGATTGGCTACTTACTACTCTACAACCTGTCATGCAAGCAAGCAGGTCAAACTTGATTACATGTTGACAGAGCAGCTTAATGACAACAAAAGATGCACACACACACACACACACACACACACACACACACACACACACACACACACACACACACACACACACACACACACACACACACACACACACTAAACAATCACCTACTTTTCCCTCCCGCCTGAAATGTGAAGGATAAGCTACTAACTACAGATCCTTAAATCCAGAACCCTGCAGTACAAGCACATTGACTTTCAGAAATCAACACTAGTTGCTTTGACTGAATCCTACAGAACATGTTTGTCCTATCTGTACTAGGGCTCGTCTTTGAAAGCTCCTAGAGCGGATAGAAGTGTGTGGAAGACGGCCTCTGGCTGTGGAGGTGAAGAGCAGGAGTGTGTGATGAGTTTGTACTGTTGATCTCTGTAAGCGGAGCGGAGTGAGGAGGACGTCGAGAACGTGCATAAAATGTCACTTCCTGGAGCTTTCGCAGAAAATACAAACTTTTTATACAGGCAACACAGATAGACAGTGAACATCTACTTTTTCACATCAGTTAACCGTTCACTTATTAATGGGTGATAAAAAACAATTTATAAATTGAAAAAGTTACACATAGAACCTTTAAATTGTTAGGGCTAATATATTAGCAAACCTTTTTGCTATTAACAGATCACTCATATGTAATCATTTTGTACTCTCCAGGCAGATCTGGTTTAGTGTCCTGCTGCTCAAAGCTCCAATATGTTCATGTATTAGTGTCTGTCCACTGTACAGTGCTGAGGTGTGTTGGGAATAGGTATGGCACCGATCTCTTCCTGGTATCGCATATCGATCCGATGCTGACCCAAATAGTTAGATCATATATTGGTGACAATAGGCTGATCCATGTTGATCTACAACTCAGTTCTCTGCTATTCTGTGTTTACAGCATGCGTGTGTATGTGCTACCTCACTGTCATCGGCTCGCTGGTTGGTCTGTGCATTTTGCCAGGCGGAGCCAACATCTCATGAAGGATGCTCACACACATTTTAAAAAGTTCTATGTTCATTTCTGATATTTGCCATCGTAATGTAAAAGGAAAAATATCTACTATATAATTATAAGTGTGATAGCAGCAGATAAGGTAGCATGAAAATGGAATTTAAACTGCTTGCAACATGATAGTGATTCTACCCACTGTTTACAGCACGGGACTCAGCCTGCCATTGTTTATGTTCTTAAGATTTAAGCGTTAAATTGCTCTTGGACCCTTTAGCTTGACTGCATGTTGAAGAATTTG